CTCCTGTCACAGGCTGCACAAAGAGCTTCAATCAAAGAGTGATTTTCCTTTCTCAGATTATTTAATTTTATTAATTTTAGGTGCCCAAAGAGGGGAAACTGTTCAGTGTGATGAGCTTGAAGGTTCACTTTTGATCTTAGAAATACAGTGGAAACCTCTGTCTGGGTCAAATTGATCATGATAAGCGGATGATTATTATAACCAAATTGTGTATATATATTTTTTTTTTATTTCTCATGCAAATCACCATCTAAATGACATTTTATATTCATAACAAAAATCAAAATACTGTACTGTGTATTAGTGAAGAAACACTATACAGTAAGCCACAGCTTGACAGTGCTTTCATTGCATTTCTACAGGCCTGAAAATAAGGCTATCAGTGCCAGACCGGTAGCACAGTTTGTAAACAAACATAAAATATTCAGATTTATTTTGTTGTCATGTATGAAAAGACCCAAAATGAACACTGTAAGCGTACTACTTGATTATGGATAATGCCATCCCAAGCTTTTCGATGCATAAGCGGTTGATTACTGTAAGTGTACTATAAGCATAAAATTCTTACCATGAAGTCCATTTACTGTATAACACTAGAAAAAAAGGTTAACAAAAAAGGAAAAATAAGCATAATGTGGGTAGCAAATGTTAGTTTTGTCTTACTACTCTAGAAATAATCTGTAACCCATTCTGAGGGGTTGGAAACCGCTGGTATAGGTGAATACACCTGTAATTTATATGGGGGGAAAGTCTTAACTTACTCTTTCTGTTAAGAAGAAAATGTCATCCTCACTTCGGACAGCATCACTCATTTGGATAGAAATTAGTTGGTAGGATATATTTGAATTATTATGTTGAAATATTTAAAGTCAGGATGCCATATTGGTCTAATTACATAACAGTTACTCAGAAAGCTCTACAAAGCAGCCATGTTTGAAAGGCTACATGAACAGTTTTTATATGCAGGTATATCACAGTGCTATATCCATTCCAGTACATTTTAATACTGAATCCAAAAGATTGCTGACAATGAGTGATGTCTCCCACAGATGCCTCTTCACACAGGCTTGAATGCTGTCATGAACAGCTGACTCCACCTGCTGTGGGTGTGTGTGACCATTAGAGCCTGTAAGATTTACACACAAAAAATACAATGTCCCTGAATGAACGGAGTGAGTCTGTTTGTGCAGGAAGCAACCTTAATTCAAAAATAATAATAATTAAATAATTTTTGATTTCTCTTATCTTTTTATTCACATACAGTACCTTCAATTCTGGACAGATTACATTCAAGAATATCAAAAGGAAATGCCAAAAAAAGTGAATTCCCTAAATAACCCAGAGAGCACAAAGAAATGCATTGGGACGTACAGTACGTAACATGAGAACACAGGGCCGAGCTATTTACATTTGATCCAAAAATGTAGTGCCTCTTCATGATTTTGTTTTTTTTATACATATTAACATGTACAGTATTATTCTTTAGTGGGGACAGTCAGACCCTTTCTCCAACACCCTATAAATCACACACAGCACACCGGTTGTTGTTTGAACGCACTCTACCATAAATATAACAATTACAAAAATATACCTCACTTCAAACATAGCCATAGCAGGAAAAGCGCGTACAGCTGTCGTGGAATGATAAAACAAACAAGAAAAAAAAAACAACACATCAACTTGTAAGAATGAGATGAAGAAAAAGGTGAGAAGTGTGTGAAAGAGTTTACAGAATATGTTGAAATTCCAATGAAAGACAGCTGTTTAATGGGAATGTTTGAGGTTGTGACTGGCTGCGGATGGTGGCTGGGATAGTGATGGTGACGTGGGTAGTCTGGGTGGAGGAGGTTTGTTTCCCGGCATGGGTTCCCTTTGAAGTCAAAGCCCCGCTCCTCTTTGTAGAGGCCCATGTAGGACGAAGTGTTGAGATTAATAAACATCAGCGATACAGGAATGTAAAGAATACAGGGGATTAAAAACTCCAAGTCCATGTTGGATTAGTAGTGTGTTTACATTCACAGGTATATCCCATCGTACTAAGGCTCAGGAGGGTGCAATGTGTGTCAGTGTGTGTGTGTGTGTGTGTGGTTGCTGCTGCTGCTGCTGCTGTTCCTCCTGAGTAGAAGAAGACTAGAAGCAAAGCTATTTTTTCTTGGAGTTCACACTCTTGCAGACCCAATTCATCCCCTCCTGAAGGTGAATTTAAGAGAAACAGCAGCACGGTGAGAAGAAGAGAATAATGGCACATAAAACAAGAAGTGCAAAATAAAAACAGAAGGTTGTCACACTCACCTGAATCCCCTCAGCAGTGAGGGCAGAGCAGGACTGGATCTGCCACATGCGGTCCCGAATGGTGTGCAGATTGAGACCCTCTGCGATCTCGGAGGCCGGCGCAGCTGTCAGCAGGTCCTGCTTGTTAGCAAAGATCAGCACCGGAACGCCGCTCAACTTCTCTTCATCCAACAACTCAGCCAGCTCCTGCAAAACACACAAACATCTGTCAGTTATAGATAAAGGCGCACGCACAAATACTTTCACAGAAGGAAAAAGAGACTCTAGTAAGAGACTCAAGTGCTTCATATCAACAAAACACTGAGCAGTAGACATGAGACTGTGATTAACAGCGATAGTTAGGTCACAAAAACTAAGACTTAGGGGCCAAAACATGCATTCACATATCAAGGTCACCAATCCAAGAACGGAAAGTCTTGAATTTGACTTGCCCCAAAATAATTAAAAATGACACAAGAAACACAGTATAATAAAAATGACAGAACAGTAGACAGAAATTTATTGTGCAACAATTTTGATAACCAATGAATGAATGAATAAGCAAAAATGCTCCCAAAAATGACTGGTTCTAACTCCTTAGTGAATTCTGTATTTTCTGGTTTACTTAGACATCTATCAGTGTAAACTGAGTGGGTATGTCGGACAAAACAAGTAATTAGCATTATTAGAACAATACGTGTTGTACATACCTGACCCGTTTCCTCAAATCTTTTTCTGTCAGCGCTGTCGATGACATAAATCTGGAACAAAATGGAAGTTTTCCTTGTAAGCATGTGCAGCAGATCTTCAGTGCATGTGTTATAAACCGTAATTTCACCAAGGCTGAACGGATCAAAGCCGGAATGTAAACTCAAATTAAAAAAGCAAAGCTTCTTTGCTGTGTTTGGTGCATCGAACTCTACTCACCAGCACATCTGTGTTTTCAAAGTAGTTCCTCCAGTACGGCCTGATCTTCCTCTGTCCTCCAATGTCCCAAACATTCAGTTTAAAACCCTGAGACTGGACGCTTTTAATGTTGAATCCCTGGAGAGAACACAACACATCTAGGAAGCAGGTTATAGATAGGGGGAGCATATTTGCCAAAGAGCAAGGCCACCCATCCTTGTTGTATTTATCTGTTTTCTCAAAGAAGGTGTTTTTTTATGTATGAAACTTTCCTCCATACCTGTGTGGGGGTGATGTGGCTGATGTCCTCAGATGCCAGCTGTTTGAGCAAGGTGGTCTTCCCGCCGTTGTCCAGCCCCAGCAGTAGTATCCTAACCTCCTGGTCGGGTGTGCTCTTTAGCTTACGCAGGATGGACAGCAATCCCTGCAACAATCAACGAAAACAGCCATGTGATGTTACTTTGCCAGAGAGAGAGAGGGGGGCAGGGGGAGCACTGTTGCAGCTAAGCACCATTGCAGAAATGCATCTCCTCCATCCAGCCACCAGGACTTCTCACTTGTAGGCCGTGCAAGTGCATTTCTTTCATCTTAAACACGCACTCTCCTAACAGCAACAAAATGAGGACAACAAATCCCGTGAGCAGCACATCATCATCTTTTATTTTCTTGCGACCCGTGTTGTTTCGATGCGCGGCCAGTTAACGACACGCAAACGGGAGCTAAACGTAGCCAACGTGCTAAGCTAATCTGCCCTGATGACTGAACGAAGCAACAAGGCAGCTTTTGCAGTTGAGTATTTTTCTCGGCAAGTCGCGCGCACCGGCAGCCGTTAGTATACGTGTCTTCGCGTGAGTGCCACTTAGCGCGAATATCGGCGCATTTTGAGCTTGATACTGAGAGTTGATGTCTAATTATTACGATAAATTAAACTCACCATCTTGTTGCCTTCTCTCCTGGAGACGCCACCGAGGGTTACTAAGGGGGGTGACGTCAGACGCACAGTTACGCACGAAACTCAAAAGCATGGAGGACGGTGGTGCATTCGCGTGATCCTCGGATGGTCCCATCTCCCGAATTGTTAAGTGCTGTGTTCAGGTGTTTTTAGGTCGGGATTTGGAAACAACATGGATTGTCAAAGTATGACAAAACAGTTTGAAGCTTTCTATTACAAAGTGTTTTTTTGTCCCAGAGTTGTTACTGAACCAGTACATCAGCTGAAACCACTAAAATACTGAATAAAACTAGTACTGCGAATAAATTTCCTAATAAATCAGTCAGTCTACACGGACAGCAGACTAACACTTATAAGCGAATACCATCACAAATTACACGTTATCAAAATATATATATACAATAAGTGATTTCGCACCATTAATCAAACGTTTCTAACCGTCAACCATGTTTTTTTTTTTTTTTTTTATTGAATCTTGAATTCATCTCTTACAAAGATCTTTAGCCAAAACAAAAGTACATAAAACAATAGAATAATAGAACGGGACACAACTATAAACAAAGGGATCTCGTGCAAGAAACAACAAAGGCATTACAGAACAATATTTTAACCTTTACATATTTAAACTGCTTTACTATTCTTTGAACGAAATAAAGTTTTAATATAATATTTAATTTCTATCTTAAAATGTCGCTTCTACCAAATTATTCTGAGTTGTTGTTCCGACTTCGTTGGTCGTCCACGTGAATTTTCCCAGTAGGGAAGTCCTTTTTCCTATTATTTCGACACTACTTGAATGCACAGTTAGCTCCTGCTAGAGCTAAATCCTCAAACGTAGTCCAACAAGAGCAGCTACACGTTTAATTTTGTGGACAGTTAATGCGCACAGACTTTGCACTAAGTGTACTGCGCGCAAATATGTTTCCTTTCTACACAAGATGCAGAACAAACCCGTAACAATGTCAAATAGGAAATTAGTCGGCCAGTGTGTCTTACTGTTGATATAAAGCAATAAAGCGTCAGGTTGGGGTCTCGCGTAAGGAGCTGCCCCAGCCTGTGATTGGAGGACGGCATGCCACGTGCACATGTCCGATGCCACACGAGTACATCTGATTACCTGGCAGGTTGCTCTGTTGGGCGGTTGAGAGATCTCGCAAAGGTATGTTTTCTCTTTTTGTCACCATAGATTGCAGCTCATGTGTCGATGCATCGGTTTGGTGTTTGTTCCGTATTTCGCAGTTTGCAGAAGTCAGACTCGGCCGGGTAACTCGAGTAATGTTGCATCACTCTGCGCTCCGACAGACGTGGTTCCACATTTCACAGCAGTTTGATCGGTTGACTGAAACACAAGACCCCCTGCTCTGTCCACACACCAAGTTTGTGTCTTCGTTGGAGGAACTGTACATATAATCTAGCACATGTTTTGCGCGCACAAGCGTTATGTGTTTAGATTATGGCGGTGCCATGGCCTGCAGATCCAGTTTGTCAAGCCTCTTGTGAACTGGAGACGATCCTGCTTGTACAGTACCTCCAGTTTGTGAGAACTTGATAAACCATTATCATGCAGCATGCACTTGGCCTCAGTGGTGGAATATAACTAAGTACATCTACCCAAGTTGTGTACTATTCTGTGCAGCTTCACTCCACTACATCTCAGAGGCAAATTTTACTCCACTACAGTTGTCTAACAGCTTTAGTTACTAGATTACAAAGTTTCCCTTCCTGTCCAGTGAAAACAATGTATCTCCAAATGTGATGAATTTTTCTGACAAACTGAAGGATGCAGGAGGATTTGAACCCAATAAACCCAAATCCCAATATTATTAGAGCTGGGTTATCGATAGGTTTCGTAATTAATCATTTAGTCAGTGAAATGTTAATAAATAGTGAACAAATTCCATTCACATTTCCTTATAACACGTGTCTTTTTAATTTGCTTGTTTTGTCCAACTAATCATCCAGAACGTAAAGATACAGAGGTAAAAGTGAAAACAAGAAGTAAAACAGACAGTCCTCACATTTCACTTGAAAAATGACTGAAACGATTAATTGATTGTCAAAACAATGCAGATTAATTTTCTGTTGATTGACTAGTCGATTAATTGACTAATCATCGCAACTCTATTTATTATCCATTCAGATATTCGGTTTACTGTCATAGAAGACGCATGCTCACATTTTCTCATTTCCCCATTGAAAACGATTTGATTATCAACACAGTTACACGTGTTATTTACTCCCAGTGAACCATTTCAGCTCAACCTTCCTAATTCCTGCATCAGTTTATTAAAATATCAGTTCCTTGATACAGTTTAAGTTGCATATCTATGAAAAGCAAATCTTCTGCAAATCGTCAAATATATCAGTGAAGACACGTGTGTTGAAACAATTAGGCGACAGAAAATTAATCGACAACCGTTTTTATGGCACATTTTTACTTCTCTGAAGTAATTTATCAAGCAAACATTCACTCTTTTCAGCTTCCCAAATGTGAGGATTTGCTGCTTGTGTCTGTCTTTGTAAACTTTAATATCTTTTTTTGTCTTTGTAAACTTAATATCTTTCTTTATTTTGGACAAAACAAGACATTTTGCAGCTTCAATCTTTGGCTCTGGGAAATTGTGATGAGCAATTTCTACTATATTCACACATTTTATAAACTAAATGATTAATCATAAAAGGTAAACTGATCATCTGTTGCATTCTGTTTTTTGATATAGTGTCTCCTTACATTACTGTGTAAAGACCTAGTTTCCCTACAGGGAGCTGCATGGTTTCTCCCTATGAAGCCATCACTTCCAGTGTTTGTTTTTATATTCCTATTGATAAGTCGTGGTATGCAGGGACACGTTGACTTTTGGCTTATGCTCAGTGTTCCCCACAAGGTTCAGCAGGCCTTTACCCTACTTTCTAAACAAACATATCCAGAAACAATCCAGTTCCAGCCAGGCTGAGCCTTCAAAGAGCACTGATACGCCTCTCCTCCTGTGCCCTTTACTAAAGGTGAAATCACATGGTGCAGGTTTCCACAGTAAATAATTAGTAATATAACAATGAAGATGCACTGTGGGATGTTTGAATAGTTTGAGCTGCAGTCAGCAGGTTCTGGTTCCTCTGGTTGTGTAATAGGAAGCAGAATGCTGCAGCTGCAGAAACCCAAAATGACGACGACCTGTGGAACCATTTACCAGGATGTGGTCTGTGATTTCTAGAGGAAGTTTGGCCCTTGAGAATTTTTAGGCAGCAACGAGGGTTTGTTTGAATCCAAGGCCATATGTTGGCAAACAGCAAGTGCAGCAGCTTGAAATGGGGCAAGAGCTGAAAAACTGCAACTCAGTGTGGTGAACAGAACGTTTCATTGACTCTCATATAAGACACATAAAAGCAGCACATTTAAGAAGCTGAAACCAGCAAATGTTTGGCTTTGTTGCCTGCAACATGCCAGAAACAAGTAATCGATCATGACAACATTTGCCATTCTCTGATCAACTAATTATTTAATTGACTAATTTTTGCTGCTCCAGGTTTGGTTGTGCCAGGAACTCGTTATCTTTTAGGGCTTAATGCTTTTTTTTTTTTTGTGATTCATTACCAAATACTTTTCTCCATAAAATGTCGGAAAATAGTGAAGAAATACCTATTCAGATTTTCGACAGCACCAGGTGGCTTCTTCAAAAACATTTTCTTTTATTCGTCCAACTAAAACTAACTAATTCATAAAACTCATCAATATTCAGTTTACAATCATACGTGACAAATAAAAGCATTAAATCCTCACTTTGGAGAAGCTGAAACAAGATAATATTTGTCTTTTTTGCTTTACAAATGACTAATCTGCAACTATTTTGATAATTTATTGAAAAAAATGTCAAATATTATCTGCTTCCAGCTTTGATGCTTTTGTCACGTATGATAATAAACTGAATATCGTTAAAGTTAATCGGCAACTATTTAGATAATTTATTATTCATTTTAATTTTTTGTCGATGGACTAATCATTGCAGCTCTATATGCGCGCACACACACACACACACACACACACCTACACTTTTGGGAAAATCCTGTGGGAATGCGAGTTCAAAGGTAAAGCAGTCGGGGCCTCTCTGACCCTGTGAGCTAAACATCTGTTAATGTTGGATCAGCTCAAAACAAGCCTGGCTTTTGTGACAACAAACATGAGCCAGACTGTGATAAACTGACAAGAGACATGCATGTAATTTATTCATTAACTATGAATCTGTGTGTGTTCTAGTTGCAGCTGCTTTTTATTTTTTTGTTTAACAGCACATTTAGCATTTAGCTAATTTTATTATTATTCCCCCTTTTCTCCAGGCTTCAGCTGCAGCTGCTGAGTAACCGCCTGCAGAGCAAACAGAGCTTGTCCACAGATTTAAACTTTTTAATGCATTAAGTTGGGGCCGCTTTTTAACAACCACCATGGCTTTGAGCTCATTCGACATCGACGCACCACGGTGGGATCAGTCTACGTTTATGGGCCGACTGAAACACTTCTTCAACATCACAGACTGTCGAACGGCGCTCTTACCTGACTCGCACTTGGACGAGGCCAAAGCTTTAGTGGATAGCTGCAGGTAAGAAGTTGGACTCTTAACTGTATAACGATCCTCATGCACATATTGTATCTTTTGTAAGTCATCTTTTCAGCAGTTTGAGAGAAAATTCAGCCTAAAACATCATAGATGTCAGGCTTTTGCAATAATTTGGGCTATTAACATCAACATCTTTATTTATGCATATATTATGAACTTTATGCCAAGTTTCTAAGGTAACACCTTTTTGTAATTGGTGCAAAAACACAGAAATATTAAATGGCTTCATAAGCCTAAACACATTTTAAAATATGAAATGAGTTTTGATTAAGTGTAAAATGTCCGACAGAAGTACAGATATAGCGCGCAGTATGTGAAATCTAATGAGTTGTTTTTTTACTTTGATATTTTGCCTCATACCCTGGGTTCTGCATTTTAAATGTGTCGTGCAAGTTTCAACATAAAAAATGTGTCAAAAACACAGGCTATGCAAGAATGGGGTTGACTGTATCAAAATTAGTCATACCATCAGCCCAATTTTAATACAGATATCTGGCATTTTGAGAGTCCGATAAACAAAAAATGTCTGCAGACACGTCTGCAGGCAGCCTTGTCAGTGTGGCTACTGTGGAACGATGTTAGTGCTCCCCCTTGTGAGTTTCGGGAAGTTGGTGAAAAAGTTAGTTTCGAGCCCTAATTTCTTCAGTCACCATCGTCTTTTCTAAATGTTAACATGTTTCCCCCTTCTTAAATGACAGCTAATCTAATATAAAACCGTCATTTGCTAGCCTTTAAATATATATTGTTATACTGTAGAGAATAAAGCAGTTGAATGACTTCACTTCTGACAAACTGTACCCTACACTACCCTACATTCTGAAATCTACAACAAAACAAATGTACTTTTTATTTAATTAATAATAAATCCATCAATAAGTTCAATAAGTGTGTTTTTGTGTTTTTTTGGCGCTCTGTAGGGCAGGATCCGTCCCTCCTGGCACCACAGAGGAGCAGCTTCACTATGCTAAGAAGCTGTACGACTCTGCCTTCCACCCAGACACAGGAGACCGCATGAACCTTATCGGCCGTATGTCCTTCCAGGTCCCTGGAGGCATGGCCATCACCGGCTTCATGCTGCAGTTCTACAGGTACCAAAGAGCAGACCCCCTGCATGTTACCACATCCTGTGGTTTCACAGAGGAAGCTTTAGAGCTTTCATAACTGTCTGTTTTCTAGGACAGTTCCTGCTGTGGTGTTCTGGCAGTGGGTCAATCAGTCCTTCAACGCTCTGGTCAATTACACAAACCGTAACGCTGCCTCCCCCATCACGCCCAAGTAAGTTTACTGCGCATTTAAGATTTCAGTTGATATGGACTGTTTAAAGGAACCATAATCCTGAATTTGGCCTCTTTCAGACCTGATTATGTAAATCTGATGATTTATCTTTCCTGAGTCACTTTTACATAAAAGTCACAACAGCAATCTTACTAGTAACATTTCCACAACTCTTCCAAAACGGCACCCTAATGTCAGATTAACGTAAAAGCAAGGGCAGCATAAGATTAAATACACAGAGATTAAATGCATTTACTATTTATCTATTAAGAGCACTGTATATATAAATGTATTATCTCTATAACACAAAGACACAACAGTCCAACCTTAACGTCTTGTTGTTGAGTGCCTGAGAAAATGTATTCGCTGTGAGAAGAGTCAAGTGCCATTATTTAATGCAAAATAAATCTGTTTTACACTAGTGCAGCCTGTGAATGAAGAAACGAGGAACATTTAATGGCAAAGTCTTCACTTTAACAGATAGATGAAGCCAGCAATGTTGTGTATTCAGTGTCTGAAAAAAGGTTGGGGTTTTTTTGTCTCTCTCAGGCAGATTGGAGTCGCCTATGTTACAGCAACCAGCACAGCATTAGCAACAGCAGTCGGACTCAACCTCTACACAAAGGTACAAACGCACACTGACCTTTATTTGTCCAACACTTGACACTAATTGGTCTGTTTTTAATGATACTTAATTTGTCGCCAAACTAATTAGGATAACTTGAAATGCTGAAACACTCAGGTGTGTCTCCTGTCTTGTAGGACTAGTGCTCTTTTAGCTCTTTTAAAACAAGGCGTTACCTTGATCAAATTAATTGTGGATATTGATCTTAATATTGAAGCTTTCAACCGCATCTTTGCAGTCTTCAGCAGTGGATGAAGTTTACTGGGGTTACAATCTACATATATTTTGATGAGAAACAATGGATTTGATATATGAATGATAATCTCATGATTCAGATCATGTCCAGGATAAAATTAGTAAGTGGACTTTAACTTTAAAAAATTATTTTGCTGTCCTAGCACTCTGGACCACTCTCCCTCCTACCATTAGATCAGTTGAGTCTGTTGACTGTTAGCTTTTTAATTAAATGGTGTGCTACAGGCGGTATCTGGTGGCTGAATGCTTTCTGTGGACGTATGTGTGTTGCATTTGTATAGGGGTGTACATGTGTATGACCGCTTTTAAATATTTTCACTTAAAAATAAACCTTGTGGTTTTATGTTAGTGCTTGATATTATGTACAGCATTTTGTAACCTGTGTTATATAAATAAAGATTTGCTTAGGTTGGGTTTTAGTTGAAAGCTACCCAGCAGTAATGTGGTAATTAGTTATAAAATCTGCCCCACCTTTACCAGCCTAAACATTAAAGTGATGTAAATGTGATTATAACCCAATAATATAATATACATAATTCAGAAATTTGCCACTCTGCATAGTAGTAAAGCAAGTACTAAAGAATTAGCATCAAAATATACAAAAAATTTTAATATTAACTTACTTCTTATAACATTTCTACTAGGTTACATGCTCATACAGTTTATGGAGTTTGTGAATTAATTTCATACACTTTAACATGGAAACAGTCCTTAAAAACAATTAATTTAATGTTTACAGGGTGTTATGCTAGAGAATGTAATGCTAAAGCAAAGAAATGTGGATTGGGCCAAAACCCCAGAGTGAGAATGACAGAAGCAACTTCTCAGAGTTGGAAAATGTCTCTTGGTTGGTCAGGGGCTGGGCTGCAGCCTGGCCAGCGTGACGTTGGCAGCGTCCTGTCACCCTGCCATCATGCCTGCCATCATGCCGGACGCTGCTTGCACCCTGAGCAGAGTGCTGTCCCAAAAGCTGCCCCCAGCGTTCGTATTCCTCTGCCTACAGGCTCTAACTCTGAGATGGATGTGCAGACACTTAGCCAGGTCCTGGTAGATATACGGTAGGTGTTTGCAGTGCACTGTTTATTTGAAATTAGTGCAAGTAAAATGTGTTTAGGGACCGATAAGCAAAATCAAAATTTGAATTTCTTAGAACCGGATCCAAATTAGAACCAATTCTCAATTGCCAACCCTGTTGACAGCAGGTCCTAATCAGGTGTTTGAAATTTATTCATTAAAATTTAGATCAGGGATTGCATCTTTAACACCTGACTTGTTTCATCTTCACTTTGTCCTGCAGAAAGCTCCTCCGCTCGTGGCTCGCTGGGTCCCTTTTGCAGCGGTGGCGGCAGCCAACTGTGTTAACATTCCTATGATGAGGCAACAGTAAGTCCTGCTGTGTCACTGTTTGAATATGTGGAGGCGTTTTTATTGTGTTGTGTCATGCATATTTTAATGGCGAGATCTGCTGAAATCAAAGTGTCGTTCTCAGATCAGATATTCTGAGAAGCTCAAAAAAGCTCACAGCACTGACATTTTCTGTGTTGGACCCTGAAAGATCTTACTGACCCTTTTAAATAGGGTGTGACGTGTCTTAACAAGGCAGCGTTTCATGCTGAGTAGATCTTAGTATGTTTGTTGAGTGCCAGTGCCGTGTGGAGGTCAAATGTGAATGGAACAAATCTAACAAAATATTTAGTTTTGGGGGTTTTTTGTACGCTATGCTAGTGGCATGGTGCTGGGGATGGCAATGTCAGTTAGTCTGTCAATCAATGTCAATGTTTGTTCGTTCCCAGGGGATGTATCCTACTGACTCTGGTGATTCCCTGACTTTTCCTCCAGCGCCACCAAAACTTGTTATATTAATCAGGCCATATTGCTAACCAGCGATCCTACAGGCTGGTAGATTACAGGTTGCAGAGTTGTGCCCTGCTGCCGCTGAAAATACTGAAGACAGATGTTGCCAATTGGCAGCCAAAAGCACCAGATCTCACCAGCCTGTACCACACAGGCTGCTGTCCTCTAACCCAGTATAATCTCATCAGCAGATAAACAGAGCAGGTTGCAGCTTAACATAGAGGAAGTGGTTAGCAGTGAGACTTAATACAGCACTTTTAGCTAACTAGTTTCATAAATGTTTATTTTCCCAGACAGGATAGTCAGACTTTAAAGCAGATGTTGCTCCAAAAAACGTTTCTCTTCATTGGTGTCTTTGTTTCCTGCTGGTGAATCAACAGTAAAATCAGCTCCTGTGTTGTGGTTTCTGTCGTTGCCATGGTCACACAGTGGCAAGTTGAAAGAAGTTGATAAACTCTGAATGCAGCGCCACACAGCTGTCCCCTCTCAATGCTGCTGTGCTGCTGACGTGTTTACAGTGAGAACAATGGAGGCAGCAGCGGCAACCACTCTGTCGGAAAGCACCTGCAATCTTGTTAAAAACATTGTCATATATATTTTCTGTAGCACTCTCCAGTAATTGGCCTTGTGAAGGTTTAATTTAGTCTTGTCTGTTGAACACCTCTTTTAGTTTTGTTTTGAACACTCCCTGAAGCTCCTGTGTGTTTTACAGTAAAGTTAAAAATACTCACCAAGTAACAGTTTGTTTACAGGGAGCTGGATGATAAGACAGCTGTTTCACAATCCGTTTCCCTTTTTGTTCCATTTCACCTTCATTTTTGTCTTTCTGTTTTCAGGGAAATTCTGAATGGCATTGCTGTGACAGATGAAAATGGCAATAAGCTGGGCCACTCTACGGTCAGTACTTTAGGACATTTATAAGAATAAAAAAAGCACAATAGTTATTTTACTATTCATAAACTGTCGTTAAATCTTCTTTTATCTCACCCGTAGAAAGCGGCTGTAAAAGGCATCACTCAGGTGGTCATCTCTCGGATCACCATGGCCGCACCAGGAATGAGTATGCAACAAAGTTTAATGTTATAAATATCACATTCTTCAAGTTGTCCTCTTCCGCTCTTGACCTTTTTTCTTCTCTTCTGTCAGTCATCCTCCCCATCATCATGCAGAGGATGGAAAAATACAAGTTCATGCAGGTCAGACCTTTTACCTTCATTACCGTCCTCCTGCTAAAGTCCCCAACATGAAAGTGTGCATCTGTCATCAAGCTTTGTTCTGTCTTTTCATAGAGAATCACGTTTCTCCATGGACCACTTCAAGTGATGATGGTGGGAGTGTTGTAAGTAGAGACTGGGATTGTAATGTACTGAGGCGTGTTTGGAGAGGAGAACTTTTTTTGACTCTTGTTTCTTTTGCTTTTTTTTAAAGTTTGATCTTCATGGTTCCTGCAGCCTGCTCGCTGTTCCCTCAGCGATGGTAACAAACATGTTTCTGTACTTTCAGTTGTAGCTTATAAGTGTACTCCACCGATTTAGCATTGTAGTCCTATAATGCTGTCCAATTTAAAAATGATCAAAATTGGTGCAACAGAATCAAAGAGATCATTTGTCTTCCTTGTTAAAAATGCTTGGCCTTTCATTGTTGCAACCAATACCTTACTTTCCTAATTATACCTGTAGTAGTTCCTTTTTTTTCAACAAAACTGCGTTCTCTCGAAAAAAACTCTCTCAAAAAAACGCATTAGTTTCTTTGTTTAGTCTGAATAATTCTGCATGAGCAAACACACCAGCGTTAGTTTGTTTAATCAAACAAAGTACATTCTGACCATGCTTCTCTTCTTTCTGTTTTCCTGTCCACATACCCTCATCTTCCCCTCTGTCTGTGTCTGTCTACAACAGCTCCATGACTGTGTCGAAGCTGGAGCCCGAGCTGAGAGACTCCATCGTGTCGCAATATGGAGACACAGTACAACGCGTCTACTTCAACAAAGGCCTCTGAGGCTGATTTGCTGAACTGAACTTTTCAACACACAAGACCGAATACACATGTTTTTGCATAAATTGTCTTTGTTTTCTAATTATAGTCCTAATGAAATGCTCGTCTCCCTACGTCATCTTCAAATCTGTGCTTATTGGTGGGAACTCGCTGTGGGATTTTTGATCAGTACGTCTTTTTAACTTTTTCTCCTGTTTTCTTACATTAAACAGACACAAGGGACATTGTGTACTCCTGTTGGGAAACCAAATGATCTCCTCTCAGGAACAGAGCAGTACTTTGCCAGATTAAAACTCTGTTAGTTTGTCCTCCACTGGATGTTTCTAGTTGTTTTCGTTAACTCAGAATGCTCTTGAACAGCATCATGCTCCTTCTGTCTGCAACGCTTCCTTACAATCTGTGCCTTCTACAAAGTGGCAGGAGCAACAACACTTTTCTCTCTTTCTTTTTTTAAACTCTTGTATGCATGGGTTAACTCATGGGTTAACTCTGAGACAGTCATTCGGTGTGGTGTGGAAGCTGTGTGATAAAGGTGGAGGATACTGCCCTCTTCTGCCAGGATGGAGGTAGATGTCTGACTTGTTTGCATGATTTATCTGAAAGGTTTGCACATCGGATCATTTCACTTTGAAATCCTCCAGAATAAACTGGAATAAAACCACAAAAATATTTTAAATGCAGTACCCAGTGGGGTTTCTTTATGTATTTGTATGTGATTTAATTAGCATTTTTAAAAATTAGGCAGTGCATTCACACCATATAGATGAAGAGGTTTCAGTTTGATGAAACTAAGCTGACAGGAAACAGACCGTGGCGGAAGAAATACTTTTACTTAAGTAAAAGTTTCAGTACAATGTAAAAATACTTTCTACTTACATTAAAAGTTGTGCATTTAAATTCTACAGAAGGAAAGTACTAGTTCTGCAGTAAAATGTACTTGAAGTATCGAAAAAGTACTAGTTCTAGAGTAAATTGTCCTGTGACTGATATGATGATATTAGATTGTTAATACTGATGCATCAATCAGCGTTTAGTGTTGGAGCTGGTCCAGGTGAAGCTAGTTTTAACTACTTTATATAGCCTACAGTTAGTTTAGTCCAGTTGTTCCCAACCTAGGGGCTGGGGGCCCCCAAAGGGTTAAATCTGGGGGGTTGGGATGATTAAGGGGAGAACAAAGATAAAACAATAGGAAAATTTCTTTAACAGGGAAATCTTTCTTTGGTGGACATGCTTTCTCAGAACTCAGATACTGATGTTTTGTAAGAAGTCACAAGCCTAAAAGGTTGAGAGCCACTGGTTAAATCTCTAATGTATTTTATTACCTTTTCAGTTGCTAAAAGTTTAATCTGTGAAGTAACAAGAAACTCCAGCTGTATAAATGTAGTGCAGTAAAAGCTACAATATTACTCTCTGAAATGTACAGGAGTAGAAGCACAAATTCACATGAAATGGAAATCCTCAAGTTATGTACAAGTACTTTGGTAAATGTAACTCCACCACTGCAGACAGAATGAGGAAGTTCAGCATTGCACTGTGACAGAGTTGAGTGAGTCACACCAAACCGGGTGTTTCAGATGCGGCCATTTTCCAAAAAGGAATTGTCCTCCAAATGCATACATTGTTTGTAAAGTATTAGTTATAATTACAAATTACAGATTTATCTTTCATGGCTTTACTTTTTTTTTTTTTGATTTATACTGCTTAGAAATGCTATATAGGGCGGATGGGGTCAAAGTAATACCAACAACTTTCACAAATGGACAATATATTTTGAGCACTGGTGAAAGAAGTATATTCAGATCCTTTACATAAGTAAAAGTAACAATACCACACTGTGAACTTACTCCACTACCTCAACCTTTGAATATATGTGATGTTTCTGGATTAATATTACTGCTGCATTAATGTGTATGTTGCATTTAGTTGCTGTAGATGTTTATGATTGAGCTAATTTTAACTACTTTATATTGGTTTAATCTAAAGCAGTGCATCATATTATTTAAGATCATCATGAGTTTGTAGCTCACTCCTGTGAAAAGCACCTTTCTCTAAAAAGTCACCCTCTCATGAGCTCAGAGAAACAGCCCTGTTTTCAGCATGATGATGCATTTTCCATCTGATCCTAGCAGGGTTTAAATAGTTTATTTATCTAAAGAAGGAGAAGAATTCTCTCAACCTATAAAGGATTTAATCTTTCTTTCTATCAGAAACATTCAACATCACCAAATCTGGAGATACATGGTTTTAACTGGACATGGCAGGGTATGAATAACTGTAATATGAAAAGTCACAAGTAACTAAATGTGTCTGACAAATGTAGTGGAGTAGAAGAAGTATACAGTTGCAGAACATTTGTACTGTACTTAAATAGGTGTACTTAAATTAAATTGTTAAATTGTTAAATTCCACCACTGATTTTGAGAATCGGGGGAACCCGAGATGGTACTTTACTTGGAAAAGGACCATAATTAGATTGAGGGACCAGGATCTGGGACCTTCTGGTCGAGGAAGCTCCGGTTGTTCCAGCCGGAGGACGCAGCGCCCTCTGCCGGTTCAGTCGTTACCGCCGAGGGGAGGAGTCGCACGAGCAGCTTTATAAAACCGCCTTGATCACAGAAACGAAAACACTCACGAAAAGACAGACAGTTACGCAGACATCTCCAGGGACCACCTAGCACGCAGTGAAATCTCACCTTTGCACCGGAGCTGAGCGAGCGGACCGTCCGGTGTTGTTGACGCCGCCAGGTCTCTGTCGGTAAAAAACAAACAAATAGAAGACAAAAGCGGAGGGGGACGCTGCTGCGTGCCGCTGGATCTACACTGCATAGCATCTGCGCAGCACACAGAAACGAAGAGGGTGAATCAAACGTCGCATCAGTGTTTATGAAAATGCCGTTTTCCGTTAACGGCGTCCTTGGCACGCTCGCGCTGCTGGTCCTGTGGCGGGCGGAGGAGCTCGCGGAAGCCTGCAGCTGCGCTCCGGTACACCCGCAACAGGCATTCTGCAACGCCGATGTAGGTGAGTACAGCACCGGGGACTGTTGTTGTTGTTGTTGTTGTTGTTTACCTAGCCCATGTTGCACCAGGCTCCTGCACAGATGACAGCGGTTTTCAGCCACTCTGCCCGCCTCCGGTTCTTCCTGAACGGGCTCACAGAAGCTGCTGGAAACCGCTGGAAAGCCTGAAGGTGGAGGGTGGTGTTCCTCAAGGCCATGGCCCGACAGTTTGCGTTGCGTTCAGATTGCAGACGCACGCAGATTGTCATATTTTGTCACGTCATGTTGACACGCGCACACTTCTTTCACGCCAAACTAGCCGCAGGAATAAAAACAAATGTTGTCTAGGTGTCATGGAGGCATGCTTTGAAGGAACGCACACCCACAAACACATGCTCGTTTTGAAGTCCACATACAATTATTTTTAACATCGCATTAAGGAGTTAATAGTGCGCAGTGTCACCCACCGATGAGTTAATGATGACCTTAATGAACTTTATTGTTAAACCGCTCTCCTTATTTCATTGTAACCCCTCAGTATAGCACTGTAGAGCCCACAAAAAGAGCACTATACTGCTGTATCTCTAAGTGCACCATGTTTGCGTAAGTCAGTGAAATATACAGGAGTGAGTCATGGAGGGACCGTCGCTGTAGCCGACATAATGTCTCATGGCTTCACCCACGGCAGCTCCCGGACGAAGCAGCGTCGCCTGGCTTCTGCAGGGCAACGTGGCACATGAGAGGAAAAGAATTAAACAAGGAGGGAAAGAGCGGAGAGGAGGACAAGGGATGGAGAATGTGAAGAGAAATTTTGGGGAGGGGGGGTGTTGAATCAACCACAGAATATGCCATGCTTTCCTCTAGTTTTTGAAATTTCCATTCCTGAGGGGTGGTGCTGGGAGGAATTGCAGGAATGCTGATGGGGTTTTCCCAACTTTGCTCCGGTGTAACACAGACACACACACACATACACATATTTTCATATAGCCCAAATACACAACTGTAGGCTTGCTGCCTTGCATCTATGACATCTGGCTGTCAGTCCAGGGTGTGTTTTTAGGGGGGGGAAAAAGCAATAAAACTCTCGGTCAAAGTTAAAATATGCATGGTATCCTTGAGAATGAGAAACCTCAAGACCACAATACTCTGGCTCTGTCTTTTCTTCCTTCTCCTGACTCCTTATTCATACACTTCCACATGCATGTGTGTTTGTGGACACGATCTGTGTAATTTCTTATTGAAAATTGAAGTTCTATTTTTAGGCGTGACTCAATCTCTCGCTAAGCTTGCACATTAAAAGGCGTGCAAACCGCTCCAAGTCAACACTGGTTGATGTCATTGTCGGATGATAATTTCAGGGTGGACCTCAAGATGAAACTGTGACTTTGGTGGATCTGAAAACCACCAATCTGCTGGGAGAAACACCCAGATAAGGAGCTGCAGAGGTAAAGGCTGGACTGTAGGAAAGAGGAGAAGCAGGAGTGAAATGGGTTGTGCAGGCTTGAAATGAGCAAAGAATCAGAATAGAGTTGGTTGTCCAGAATGTCCATGTAGGCAACAACAAAGTGACATTGTCAACAGTTATGTGGTCTGAAGTGAGATGCCACTCGTTCACACGTGTTCACACACATACTGTACGTGCAGGGACCAGCGGCATGTGCGTGTATTTGTGTGTGTGTGTGTAACCTGTTTTTCATGCTAAACGATACCCCAGGTCAGACCACAAGCCATAAAGATCCAGCAGTGTCATGCATCCACCACAAAATCTCACTCACACACACACACACACACACACACACACACATATGTACATGTGCAAAGACAAACAACCTCTTTTCATATATAAATCTGTTGCCCAAAAGGGGAACTTCCCCAGCAGCCCTGCCCAGTCAGACTGTCCTGAGGCTGGGAGGCATGGAAGACCAGAGTCACCCTGCTGTCTGCAGCAGGGGACATGCAACAACACACTGACTGTACACGTTTCCATTTATATAGACATGTTTTCTT